TCTGACCTTTGAGGGCCCCATGCCGGTCTGTATGGGCCTACATTAGCCTCTGAGGGCCCCCCGCACTGGATTCTGAAGACCTGATGCCGGCCTCTAAGAGCCCGCATCGGCTTCTGAGGGCCCCTCTTGGCCTTTGAGAGCCTTCTGGTGGCCTCTGGGGTCCAACACCGGCCCATGCCGGTCTTTTAGGGCCCCACACTGACCTCTGATGGCCCGTGCTGGCCTGTAAGGACCCACCTTAGCCTCTGAGGGCCCCGCACGGGCTTCTGAAGACCTGATGCCGGCCTCTAAGAGCCCGCATCGGCCTCTGGGGGCCCATTTTGGCCTTTGAGGGCCCTCTGCTGGTCTCTGGGGTCCAACGCCGGCCCATGCCGGCCTTTAAGGGCCCCACACTGACCTCTAAGGGCCCCATGCTGGCCTGTAAGGACCCACATTAGCCTCTGAGGGCCCCTGCACTGGATTCTGAAGACCCAATGCCGGCCGCTCAGGGCCCGCATCGGCGTCTGAGGGCCCATCTTGGCCTTTGAGGGCCCTCCGCTGGCCTCTGGGGTCCAACGCCGGCCCATGCCGGTCTTTTAGGGCCCCACACTGACCTCTGAGGACCCCATGCTGGCCTGAAAGGACACACATTAGCCTCTATGGGCCCCGCACTGGATTCTGAAGACCCCATGCCGGCCTCTAAGGGTCCGCATCGGCCTCTGAGGGCCCATCTTGGCCTTTGAGGGCCCTTTGCTGGCCTCTGGGTTCCAACGCCGGCCCATGCCGGTCTTTTAGGGCTCCACACTCCTCTGATGGCCCATGCTGGCCTGAAAGGACACACATTAGCCTCTATGGGCCCCGCACTGGATTCTGAAGACCCCATGCCGGCCTCTAAGGGTCAGCATCGGCTTCTGAGGGCCCATCTTGGCCTTTGAGGGCCTTCTGTTGGCCTCTGGGTTCCAACACCGGCCAATGCCAGTCTTTTAGGGTCCCATTCTGACCTTTGAGGGCCCCATGCCGGTCTGTATGGGCCTACATTAGCCTCTGAGGGCCCCCCGCACTGGATTCTGAAGACCTGATGCCGGCCTCTAAGAGCCCGCATCGGCTTCTGAGGGCCCCTCTTGGCCTTTGAGAGCCTTCTGGTGGCCTCTGGGGTCCAACACCGGCCCATGCCGGTCTTTTAGGGCCCCACACTGACCTCTGATGGCCCGTGCTGGCCTGTAAGGACCCACCTTAGCCTCTGAGGGCCCCGCACGGGCTTCTGAAGACCTGATGCCGGCCTCTAAGAGCCCGCATCGGCCTCTGGGGGCCCATTTTGGCCTTTGAGGGCCCTCTGCTGGTCTCTGGGGTCCAACGCCGGCCCATGCCGGCCTTTAAGGGCCCCACACTGACCTCTAAGGGCCCCATGCTGGCCTGTAAGGACCCACATTAGCCTCTGAGGGCCCCTGCACTGGATTCTGAAGACCCAATGCCGGCCGCTCAGGGCCCGCATCGGCGTCTGAGGGCCCATCTTGGCCTTTGAGGGCCCTCCGCTGGCCTCTGGGGTCCAACGCCGGCCCATGCCGGTCTTTTAGGGCCCCACACTGACCTCTGAGGACCCCATGCGGGCCTGAAAGGACACACATTAGCCTCTATGGGCCCTCACTGGATTCTGAAGACCCCATGCCGGCCTCTAAGGGTCCGCATCGGCCTCTGAGGGCCCATCTTGGCCTTTGAGAGCCTTCTGGTGGCCTCTGGGGTCCAACACCGGCCCATGCCGGTCTTTTAGGGCCCCACACTGACCTCTGATGGCCCGTGCTGGCCTGTAAGGACCCACCTTAGTCTCTGAGGGCCCCGCACGGGCTTCTGAAGACCTGATGCCGGCCGCTCAGGGCCCGCATCGGCGTCTGAGGGCCCATCTTGGCCTTTGAGGGCCCTCCGCTGGCCTCTGGGGTCCAACGCCGGCCCATGCCGGTCTTTTAGGGCCCCACACTGACCTCTGAGGACCCCATGCTGGCCTGAAAGGACACACATTAGCCTCTATGGGCCCCGCACTGGATTCTGAAGACCCCATGCCGGCCTCTAAGGGTCCGCATCGGCCTCTGAGGGCCCATCTTGGCCTCTGAGGGCCCTCTGCTGGCCTCTGGGTTCCAACGCCGGCCAATGCCAGTCTTTTAGGGTCCCATTCTGACCATTGAGGGCCCCATGCCGGTCTGTATGGGCCCACATTAGCCTCTGAGGGCCCCCGCACTGGATTCTGAAGACCCGATGCCGACCTCTAAGGGTCAGCATCAGCTTCTGAGGGCCCATCTTGGCCTTTGAGGGCCTTCTGTTGGCCTCTGGGGTCCAACGCCGGCCCATGCCGGTCTTTTAGGGCCCCACACTGATCTCTGATGGCCCGTGCTGGCCTGTAAGGACCCGCCTTAGCCTCTGAGGGCCCCGCACGGGCTTCTGAAGACCTGATGCCGGCCTCTATGGGCCCGCATCGGCCTCTGAGGGCCCATCTTAGCCTTTGAGGGCCCTCTAATGGCCTCTGGGGCCCAACGCCGGCCCATGTTGGTCTTTTAGGGCCCCACGCTAACCTCTGAGGGCCCATGCTGGCCTGTAAGGACCCACATTAGCCTCTGAGTGCCCAATTCGGTTTCTGATGGTCTCAAACTGCCCTTTGCAGGTCCTGTACTGGTCTCTGAGGGCCCTAATTTTGCCCCTAAGGACCCAAACCAGCCTCTAAAGGTCCCACACCGGCCTCTGATGGTCCCAACTCCCATTTCTGTCTTTGGGACCCAAACTGACCCTTATGTGCCTCTGAGGGTCCCGTACTGGCTTCTGAAGGATCGATGCCGGCTTCTGAGGACCCATAACGGTCTTTAAGTGCCTCATACCGACACCTGAGGCCCCACACTAGCCTCTGAGGGGCCCCAATCTGGCCTATGAGGTCTCTACACCGGCCACTGATGGCCCTATTATGTTCTCTGGGGGGCTCAAGCCTTACCTTTGGGCGTCACGCACTTGCCTCTGAAGGCCCACATCAGCCTCTGGGGCCCTACCTTGGGCCTTTGCCCTTTGAGGCCCTTCGCTGACCCTGGGGTCTAACACCGGCCTCTGGGGGGTCTGACACCGTACTCTAAGGGCCCCATTGCAGCCTCTAGGCGATAGGTATCGCCGAAGCGCTATCGATGGGCCCATAAGGGCGCTGTACGGTAAGGAGGGCGCTATAATACGATAAGGAGGGCGCTGGCAAGTGTGGAGGGCGCAGAAAGATCAGGAGGATGCTGTGTGGTAAGGACCATGAAGGCGCCGACTGGTCAGCTCAGAGGGCGCCGAATGTGAAAAGGGCGCCGGCAGGCCATAAGAGCGCTGAATGGCGAGAAGGGCGCCGACAGATCAGAAGGGCGCCGAACAGACAGAAGGGCGCTGAAGATGATGCCAGGGTGCTAGATGGTCAGGAGATTGGGGGTGGATGTCTGGCAGTTCAGGATTGTGGGTGCATCTTCACCCACAAAGAGATATAAAATTGTAAACCTGGGCGCCAGTGCCGCATGGTGTACCGCAATGGCTAACCGTCGAGGGCGCCTAGAGTGCTAGACATTAGAAAGGTGCCTTCGGCGCCCCGAAATGATCGTGGAAGGCGCCGTCCAGTGAGGGCGCCTACTAGATTTGGGGGGTGGGGCTAAAGCCCAGTGTGCCCCCCCCCCCTTGGCTGCGCCCCTGTTTAGAGCGTTTTACTGTTGTGTTTTCTATCAAGATAAGGTCGATGAGATTGTTGCCTGTGCCCGCGTTATGTACCTACCTACTGTGTGCGGCCGTCTGATCCTTGCGGGGCGGACGACCATTGACGTCATTTCTTCAGCTGAGCAAATGTAAACAAGCCTACTGACGAGTTAACCCCCTAATATACGGCCTTGGACGATAAACCGATTAATGAATATTGTCCTGGGCCCTGGCCCCTGCCTCACCGCCCGACGCTGCGCGCGCTGGGAGCTAAGGCATACCCCTGACGTCACTCGAATGACGTTGCAAGCGATCTGTTAGCTTATGATGAATCGCGTTTGGAACAGAGGTCCTAAGGAACCAAGTACAAAGAGAACAGAGGTTTGAGTGCGAATGCTGCTAGCGTGCTGGCGGAGCGGCGCGCTAGCGTTTTGCGATGACGTCATAGCTTAGCGTCAGAGTGAAGTTTGTTGATATTGCCATGGAAACCCAACGCGCCGACGCGCGCAGCGCACTCAGCGATCTGCTGTGAAACACCACCCTGGAGTCAAGGTCACTGGAGTAATTGGGAGACATTTTCACTGAAGTTCCTCTACGTCATTAACGCCTTTGGTTTCACACTCGAACGCCGTCAACAGCCACAGTATCTATAATAGGGCAAAGTTTCCCGAGTATTTCATGATAGTAACTACAGAATGCAGATGGACCAGAGACATGCGATCAGCAGCTCATGACTATGACATTCGGTTGAAATAAATCAACCACCAATGAAGTCATAGCCTACGATTAGGCAGCCCAATTCAAAGAAGATATGGAGCCGTAGATTTGTGGACGGCTCCGGCTCCGGTTGAGTACCTAGGCTCTTATTGAGCTTCGGACGCCACAAGCCATTTGCTACTTCTTCCCCACTTTCTTACCCCCCCCCCCTTCCTCCCTGATTCCGCCACTGGCGGTTTCTGTCGCCTGCCGGCGCAGATGGAATGGGTGCGCTCGGACGGCTCAGTCGACTGTTGTTGTAAAGCGCAATTTGTTAAAATATGTGCAATTCTAACGCCGAATTAATTCGAAAAAGTGTCGAATGCCAAATCGTCTCCTGACTACAATGTTTGATGGATTGGCAATATCGTTGGTACTGAAGCATTATGAAACATTTATCTCGCTTTATTGAAGAGAGCAGGTTAAACTGAACACGTTTATTGTCTTTAATTGCGTACAACTCTCGGTTCGATATAAGCGCACTCTGTCTATTGAAAGCGCACCTCTAGGTCACGTGACTGGGGTGTGTCACGTGATTGCGCTTAAAACCGAAATCGGCGTCACAGGAGCGCCCCTGGCGGCCAGCTAGCGCAGCTCGCGCCACTGACCACCAGTTGCGTCGAAGCCGTCGACGGCGACACGACTGGCTGACCCGGGGAAGGGGACACAAACGAGCCTGTAGATCGCCAGACGTGAGCCGGGGCGGTCGGCGGTGGCGACCGGGCCTGGCCGGCCGTAGCGAGCGGTGCACATCACAGGCAAGCTGAGACTGACTGGGCCGAGAGGTAAGTGGCAACCGCAGCGCTGCACAAAAGCTTCTAGTTCGTAGTTGCACGAAATCTTACCTAAAAGCGCTCGCATAGACTAAGCACGTAGAATCAAGGCACGAAGCAGCCGCCAGTTTTTTTTTTGTTTGTTTTGAGTGCTGTTTGTAATAATCACCGACTCGACGACTCCTCAAGGCGCACTCGAGTCGCCGAAGCTCCCGGTCATCCGAGCGCCAACCTTCAGTCCCCGGCGTCGCCTCACTCCCGGCCCCTCTCCGTCGGCCGATGGGGCGGAAGCGGAAGACGTTCGACCCCGCCGCGGCCTCCGGCCTGCGCCAGAGCGCGCTGGAGCGCCGTCTGTGCAACGTCATCTGTCTTTGCCAGCTGCTGGCCATCATCTCCGGCGTGGCGCTCATCTACCTCTGCTTCATCGTCATCAAGCCGAGCCACTACACGCTGGCGGCGCGCTTCGAGGACGACGCGTCCGTGTGCACCACGCTCGGCTCGACCACGAGCGGCGCGTGCCTGCGCCCCTCGTGCGCCGAGTGGTGCCTCTCGAGCACGGGTGGCACATGCCGTGTCATCACGGCGTCGGTGCGTCGGCCCGGCGTCACGGTGGTGTTCCGCGACTGCCAGCTGCAGGATCAGTTCTGCTCGGAGCTCAGCCCCGACCACCTGCAGACGTTCGTCTGCTCGGAGGGCGAAGATGACGGCGAGTGTCACGGCCTCCACGGCCTCTTCAACTGCTCCGAGATCGCCGCCAAGCCGCGCGTCGGCCGCGGCCCGCACACGTCGATCTGTAAAAATGTGACGGCGCTGAGCCAGTGCACCAACACGGCGCGCTGGCAGCAGCCGGAAAACCTCACCCGCTGCAACCGGTACGTGTGCAACCACCTGCGCGGCGTGTTCGAGTGCGTGGACGGCGTGTGCCGGCAGCTGAAGTCGCCGCGCTGCCACGCGCGCTGCGCCGACCTCACCATGGGCAACATCGCCGTGGCCACCGCCGACCGGTTCCACTGGGGCCGCTGCCGGGCGGCCGAGGTGCTCGGCGAGCCGCTGTGGACGGCCGACGAGCAGCCGCCGCTGGCCATCTTCTGCACCCGGCTGCAGGGCGGCGCCGCCGGCGACCTCGTGGGCGACGACTGCGTCAACGGCACGCTGGTGCCGGCCGACGAGTTCGGTGCGCTGGAGACGTACCGCGCCGTGCGCGCCGCGCTGCGCCGCCACGTGCGCCTGCTGGTGCCCGCCGAGGAGTTCATCTTCAACGCCACCCAGGTGATGGTTAACATCGACGGCTGCGTGAACACACTGCGCAGCGAGTGCAGCGGCTGGCTGGCCGAGCGCCTGGTGGACGGCAGCGACGGCCGCCACCCGGCCGTCTACCCGTGCCACGTCACCCCGAGCAGCACCGACTACGTCATCACCGACTACGACCGGCGCCAGACCATCCGGCAGATGGCCCTGGCCGCCACGCTGCCCTGCGCCTTCCTGACGCTCTCCTGCCTCTGCCTATTCATCTGCGGCAAACTGGTCCGCGTCAGCGAGTACGGCGTCTTCTACTGCCGCGACTGCCACGCGCAGAGCCCCACCCGAGGTGAGTAAGAGCTGATCTCTCGGAGAGATTCTCTAATCTCTCAGACAGTAAACATTCTTTGGTCAATATCTTAACGCAACCAGAAATCCCTTTTCAGCTTCACTCAGTATGTGTATTTTCTTTGTAATCTAGTAAAGGGCAGCTAAGTTTGATATTAGCCGTTTTCACGACGGCCATCTGGTGGTACACATTTGGTGCACATCTGGTGCAGATCAGGTGCAGATTTGGTCAAATCAGGTTCAGTGTGTCTCTTAGTAGCCATCAGCTAGGGTTACACTTATTGCTTACATGCCTGCTTTGTCGCATTATCAGAGAGCATCATCGATTAAAACACTGAAATGAATTCATAAAATGAAGATATTTGCTGTAAAAGAGATTAGGTGCAAATTTGGTCAAATCGGGTGCACTCGCCGGATAGCCCGTCGTGAAAACGGCTATTGTTTTCACTTTCTCCGATACATTTTTGTTGCGCATATTGAGTGCAAAATTTGACCCCCTTACCTGAAAAGGTAAAGCCATTTTGGCCCCGTCAATGGACCGCACATCGAAATTTATTTTGCTAAGCTAAGTTTAATACCTACGTCGTACGGTACAATATACCGTCCAGGCGGGACTGTCGTGCGGTGCAGAATAACTACCATGGACTGTCGTGCGGCACAGTATAGCTAAGACCATGGGTGGAGAACCTGCCCCGGCCACCCCGGCCGTGGCCGGGGTTACTTCCAGCCGACCCCGGCGCGGCCGGGGTAACTTTTTTCACTTTTGTAAATCCTAAAAGCTGTCTCCATACGAAAAAAACTGCCATCTATAAAAGCGTCTCTCATTATTCTTATCTACCTTGAAAAGTTCTTGAAAATTTACTTTATTTTCATTTTGGAGCTTCTATGTTTTTACGCCTTTTCATCGCGGAGCCCGACATGTTTCATCAAACAGAAGTAAATCATATTTAAGGGCCGTTATCGTAAGATGGCACTGTAATAACATCACAAGACAGGACGAGGGTAATATCAGTGAGATAGAAGGACGAGCTGCTGGGGCTCAAGGCTCCCCCAACTTAACCCGCGCCAGGGTGGTGGCCTTATCGTTACACGTTGAGTCGAGAGGTCTTTTCACGCTCCTTCTAACTCGGCTACTGGGCTACGAGGCGAGAAGCGGAACGACGTTTGAAAGAGCGACAAACGTGATCAGAGAAATCCGGCCATGTTTTAGGCAAGCTCAATAATAAAATCACCATAGATCATCAAAAGCCAAATTTCTCTGATTTTAGCGTTCTCCGACAACTTTTCTCACAGTTCATGAACATAACGGAGCTTAACCCTCGCCCGTATAGGGGGGGGGGGGTCGAACGGACCCCCCCCCCATGGTTTTTCGCGAATAACTCGCGTAAAAAGCGGCCGATCGTGACGAAACTTTCAGTACCCTCGCGTTCATCAATTTTACACCTACCCTGAAAATTTCATGACCCTGACCCAAATGACCTTTGACCTGTGACCTACTTTTCGAGACCATGTTTGGCCGGAATCGCGATTCGGCGTATGTCGGCTCGCATTAGCCGCGCGTTTGCAGTCTTTTCGTGGTTTCAAGCGTTCAAACATGTGATATGATGTTGCCCCCATGCATTAGGGTGGGTGTCAAGGTCACCTGAAGGTCAGGTCAGGTCATTGACCTTTGATGACCTCGGTTCACTTTTTCGAGTTTTACATGTTTCTAGGCCAGTTTTTAGAGCTGAATTCGAATTTAGCAACCATATGAACATTTACGAAGTAGTTTTGGTGCCTTCGTAACACAGTGTCCTGATTTTCGTGAATTTGGGTGGAAACCCACACCTAACAGATTCTCTTTGTGACGTCCCGGAAATCCAAACGACGTCCCTGACAGATAAAAGTCGATAGGTATATCGAACACCAAAAGCAAACTAACAAAAGGAAATATCACCTCTGTAGCCTAAAAACACGGCTATGCAAAATGACAATAAATATATCCTAAGTCCTCACAAACCCACTCTTACACTCAACTCCCCTTTCCTGGCCAACTGCCGCAACAGTAAACAACGCGGTTTTATTTTATTTTCGTTTTCTGTGCGTCAGATATGGATAGGTTTTTTTTCCTTTACCATGTGAAGGTAATGCTGCCATATGAAGGAGAAAAGATGTCGGAATAGAGGGATCTGAGGACGTCGTTTTCCACTTTTCAGTTTTAGTAACTCTGCAGTGTATAGATAAAAATTAATCATGCGAATATATTACTTGGACATTTAACTATAAGCACGCAACATACCTTTCGTATCAAATTCCTGTAACATATTTAATTATTTTTTCCCCTCAGAAGGTCACAGTAACGGGTTAGCGCTGCCCCTTGAACATGCCCTTCAAAAGTAGCTAATTTTGCATATGTTGATAGTGGTTGGGGAAAAAGTTTAATGTTTATCTGTTTGAATTAGAATAAAGTTACCGAATTTCAACAGAATTAATTCAAGTATGTCGTCCTTGGCTTAAAAATACACGCAATGTTGGGGACGTCGATTGACCTTGTTATTCCCATTTAATCGACGTCGGTACAAAACTGAAAAGTGCACAATGATTTCACATTTTTTCCAGCCAAGAAAAATTCAGCGTCCACCTTGGAGTTTTCTTAATTGAATTTCATAACAGGAAGCTATGGAAATTAATTTCCAAACTGTTTTCCACCTCTTTGTTTGGACGTCTGCTTTTTTACATCAGTCCTCTTGCTCGATATGATATCCCTCTTATGACGTCAATATTTAGTGATAGCCGCTGGCTCTTGAGCTGATTTTTGTTGAAGCATATTTGTTGTTGACTGTTGTGTACGATCATGGACAAGAACTACTATGGACGTCAAACCCCTTGAGACCCCACTTTTTTGCGATAATTTTTAAATGCGTCAACTCTCGTTGACAATATTTTGGCAATGTGTGTTTCAGAACCTGCCGAAACTTTTATTACTAAGGTATTTTGACGCCAAACGATTATGAAAGGTACTTCTCATTCACTCCTAATGTTAAATTTCACGGAACGAATCTGCTGTTTGGGTAGAGGCTACGCGCTCATGGGGCGGAGCCACGTAATGACGTCAGCGCTAAGCTCCGCCCTACCCCTCCGGCGCTCCTTGCCCGGCGACCGGTCACTCGCGTCTCTCGCTCCATTCAGGCTTGATGGTGGACGGTAGCTGGTAGCGGTAGCGGGCGCTGGCAGATGGCATTTAGAGCAGATGGCGCTGGTGGTGGGGCTCGAGTGTGGCCGAGCGCAAGCCTCTGCCCGGGCCTGAATTGATCTTAGCATTACGAGTGAATGAGAAGTACCCTCAATAATCGTTTGGCGTCAAAATACCTTAGTAATAAAAGTTTAGGCAGGTTCTGAAACACACATTGCCAGAATATTGTCAACGAAAGTTGACGCATTTAAAAATTATCGCAAAAAAGTGGGGTCTCAAGGGGCTTGACGTCCATAGTAGACATCTTCAAAGTGTTGTTTTGGTGTTTGTGGTGAATGCTTGAATTTTGTATTTTACTAGGGGTAAACTGGCATTACTTTATGTCTATATATGATCATTTGAGGTGCCTTGAGGTGGTATTAGTCAATATTGCCAGTGAAAATCGCTAATTTTAAAGGGACCCTCCCACCTTCAAAAAAGTTAATGAATTGGCATAAAAGTGATGTAGCGTGAATCACAAAGAGCGAAAATGAACATCTACCAAATTTTACCGGAAAATATTCACCCGTTTTCGAGATATAAGACTTTTATTTTTGTTTACTTTTTGGGAAATCCGCTGTTTCTATGACGTCACATAAAGGTTTTCTTTACGTCGGCATTTGGAAGCAATAGTTTGGTATCAAAGTGCGACAAATATTGCGCGAATGATGCGTTTATCTTATCAAGGGATGGCCAATAAAGGATTCCAGGACAATTCATATGGCATTTCTTCGTATCGCAATTCTTCGTCTGCAAATCTTCGTCAGGGCATTTATTCGTACCTATCGCATTACTTTGTCTCGCACCAGGGTATATGAAAATCGGCTCACATTTCTTCTTCAACGCAAATATATGCAAGAGTAAGCATTGAGGGACAAATAAATGCATTCATTCATTCATTCGTCGTTCATGCACCGACGAAGATTTGTAGACCAAGACGAAGAAATGCGGACGAAAAATTGTGCTACGAAGAAATGTCATGCGAGGATTCGTTCGGGTACCATGACATTTATGTGATTTCAAAGTCAAGGTTCACAGGCTCACAGCTGATCTGCTAAATCAAGCCAAGAATCCAAACTATAAAAAACTATAAATATTTGTTTGTCTGTCACAGAGGTCTCAAGCAATATAAGGTTGACATATGTTGAATCAAAAATCTACTGCCACAACTCACATCTCCTGCCTTAGTTTATCATTGTTGTTTTAACTTGCTTTCAAGAGAAACAGAAGCCAGTATCTGATATCACTTCAGATGATTGTTTCAAGATCTGAGTTCAAATGGAAATAAAAGCAAGATCAAGATGAAACAGGGATTATTGCTGTTAAAGTAGTTTGGCCATGATACAACAAGCACATAAATCATTAGCCAAATCAAATACTGGTTGGTTTGTCAAGATGTTTGTTGTCTGTCGTCTGTCGAGCTGCTATGAACACTGAACGCTCTCACTCTTTTAAAGAGAGTAGTTTAAGTTGAATGGTAGTGAGCTGTAATTAGACAAAGCAGCTATTCAGTGCTCACATCAAGCCAGGCTAGGAAATGGCATCAACTGTGGTGGGAGGAAGCAGGTTCGGCAGCCCTATGTTGTAAACTTCTGTTATGTCTTGTGTTTGATCAACTGATGTTTTCTGCTCTGTTTTGTGCAGTGATAGTAGCAGGCAACTGCATGCTTGTCAAATTATGTGAATAAACGAATTCATAACATTGCATTTTTCTCTCCATGCAAGGAACAAGTAAGATGTTGTAGAAAATGTAATAGAGGGCTGCATTGCTGATTTTGCACTTTATCAGAGCTTTATTTAGAATTGCTTTCCTGAAAGCTACACACAGGCCACAGTGCTGAAATTCACAATGTCATAGCTTTTGGCAGAAAAAAGAAAAGACTTACCTAGGTAAAATTGGCTGAAAGTATGGCAGAGCAGGTCTTGATGCGTATGCCCATACGTGTGCTTGCCGAAGCCGAACTGACTGCAACACACTAACTCTGACCCACCATGGTGACTGGCATATCCTGAACTTTCACCACTCTAAACAAGACAACTTTCAGCCCTCAGCATTATATTAAAACACTGTACAAAACACTCAAAATTTGTTTCAGTGCCATCCACGGACAACATCAGTCGCCATTCACCAGGCCAGTAAAAACAGAATAGATAATAGCTTCAAACCCATGTAGTCAGAGTTACTAGGTCTGCACCTCAAAACAAAATCCAGGTGACATTCACCACGCCAGTAAAAAACAGGTACTTAGGTAACGTAACAGCTTCAAATCTGGTAACATGTTGGTCGGACTTTACACTACCATATTTACATGGAATAATATGATACCAAACAATAGTGCAACCATTATGGACAACAAAAGTGTATGATAAAATTAATTTAGAATACTCTGGCAGCATGATTTACGAGCACAGGCAGGTGTTACCTACCAGCCTTCTCAATGCTCGTAAAACCAACATTGTAGTCTTGATTTTACCTTACATGATAACACACTTGGCTGCAATGGCACATTTAATTTAATACTGTGAAAGGACCAGTTATAACCACTTCACAAGCACAATTGCACCTCATGCCGACATCCTTTTCCAAAGACAGTCAGCAGCGTCTTTCGTCAAAACTGGAAGATAAATCCCCTTATAACTGTTAACATCAAAAATATTTCTTCATGGTGTGACTGTGATCTCCATATGGAAACCTTGCAGGAAAAGAATTAATGTCAATTGTCAGCTCTTCAAATTTCTTTGGACTTTAACTTGCAGTACCATATCCAGTTTGCTTTGATATTTTGTTTTTTATTCCATGTTGAAGTTGAACACCAAGCTCCAGATATAGCAGGCAGCTTGATCATCTTCGGCCTTGGTATAATATCAGTCCAAGTTCCAGTGGTGGGTATCTTCTAATATTCAAATTAAAATGAAAAGCAATAGGCTCTCTCAGCGCCGACGACGGATTTCACGTTGATAAGAAAGGGAGCTCAAGGTCAGCAAAACTCGGGTTCAAGGAATGGCGGGCGTTGAAATGACTGCTGACGTCATCCAAAAACCGCTAATGGTTAAGAGATAGGGACTAAGCTGGTCCCACCCTGCAAGTAAAGGGAAGAAATTTCTTGAACACCATAAAGCTGCGGGGGTTGCGACCAGGATAAATGGTGGTTTCTGAGCCTGGCCGCAAACTTGGCTATCTCAACTCAAAACTAATGTTAAGGTGGGATGGTCCCTTTAAGAGATTTAGGTAAGGGATCGTCAGTGGCTTAGGCTCCGGCCTCCGCACCGATATCGACGTCCTTTTGAAATAGCGACGTCCTCGGGGCTTCAATCACACTCTCCGAAAAATCAATTTCAGGACACTGTCGTAACATGTTACGAAGCTGTCAGAGGCGGTTGCCACCTACTACGAACACCCTTACTGGTTGACCTGACCTGACCTGACCCGACCCGGCCTAAATGCATGAAGACATGATCTGTGATCAAAACTAACATGATATTCGTGATCAGCACCCCGAAAAACCCCATAGCAGCCACACTTTACGACGTTCTAACAGGTCCCGATTTTCCCGACTTTTGGGTCATTGACCTGACCTGCAAGGTCAACCAATGACCTAGGACCTTAAAATTAGGTATCATCGGCTTCCTCTCGTCACGGGCAACACGCTCGTTTTTTCCGCGAAGCTCTAGCTCGATCAGGGGCGAAACGGCAAGGGGGGGTCCAACCCCCCCCCCCCCTTATACGTTCGCGGCTGGAAAAACACCAATACGGGCGAGGGTTAAACACTGCCAACAAAACATTCGATTACTCGTTTAAGGCTCGGTCGCGAATAATGTTTCAGGTGCGAGCTCAAATCAATAAGAGGGTCAAAACGGTC